ATACCATAGTATTAGTAATAGTGTTAGGCCTTGAGGCCTTCCCTTGAGTTGGATCCCACTTTGAGCCTGTCACTGTCTCCTTTTCCTCCAGCTCTTCTCCATTTTTGTCTGTGCAGTTCTTTTAGACAGGAACAATTCTGGATCAGAGTTTTTGACTGTGGGCATCCCTCCACTTGATGCCCTGTCTTTCTACTGGAAGTGGACTCTACAAGTTCCCTCTCCCCACTGTAGGGCATTTCATGTAAGGTCCCTTCCTTTGAGTCCTGAGAGTCTCTCACCCCCAGGTCTCTGGTACATTCTAGAGGGTTCCCCCAACCTCCTACCTCCCGAGGTTGCCTATTTCCATTCTTTCTGCTGGCCTCAGGGTTTCAGTCCTGTTCCCCCTACCCAATACTTGATCATGTTCCACTGTCCTTCCTGTCCCCTTTCCCACCCAATTCCCTCCCTAACTACCTCCTTGTGTGATTGCTTTCTTTTCCCTCCCAAGTGGGATTGAGGCATCCTCACTTGGGTCCTTTGGCTTGTTAACCTTCTTGACTTCTGTGGATTGTATCCTGGGTGCTATCTACTTTTATTGTCAAGTCAACTTTGCTGTCTGGAGCTTCTTGGCCCACCTGAGTCTTTTAGGTCAGTACCCTTTTAGGATAGAGCTAAGAATCTCCAGTTTTACTACTTCTGTCCAACACTGTTAAAAATTTAAGCAGAATAGTTAAACAAGAAAAAGTCCAAATCAGGAGACAGGCATGGTGACATATGCCCTAAGCACAATACCCAGGAAGATCATGAGTTTATGGCTATCCTAGATCCATAGCTACTTCCAGAAATTGATTGATTTTTTTAAAAAATTGCATTCATGTGCTTATATCTATAATTACCAGTTAGGCCATCCAAAATATAAATATGGTCTGTGTAACATGCAAAGTTATCAAGTCATTCCTTTTTCTTGTGAAAAAGTGAGGCCATCCTATTTATTTAATTCATTTATTTATTGGTTTATGAGACTTTCTTTGTACTCTTCCCTCTTTTTTTATGATGATATGAGAAGAGTATTAACACAATTCAAACTAATTCTAACATTCTGACATAGTTGGCAACGAGTACGGATTCCACAGTCAACGTCTGGTTTTAAATTTGGTCTTTGTTACTCAGTCAGGGCTTTGACTATCTAGCTTTAGATACATGTGAGAGTGTGTTCTTCTAATATTGAAATGGAGAAAATAAAATTATATTCTTTCTTTTTGTGTTCCAATTTTACTTCTAATGTCTAAGTGAGTGATTTTTATGTGAAACACTTTGCTAAATGTCTATTGTGTAATAATTTTTATAAGAATGTTGTTTTTATTTGCTCACTTAAAATGTTATTGTGTATGTTCCATATGTCAGGCAAAATTGTAGACAGAAACTTTGTTCTATTAAAGACTACAGTTAAAGATGTACTGTTATGCAAGCTCTAGAAGAAAATAAACAGAGTAAGGAGATAATAAACAGTAGAGGTCATTACCTACAGCTCTTTGTTTTAGTTGGGAATGTGCACATTCCTGGTGAAGGAATATTGCTGGCTAAGGAACAGTTTGCTGTTCTCAGACAGTAATGTTTCTGATGAATGTAAGGGAGGGGAATGACACCCTCTGTGGCACGGACATTCCATCTTACCTTAGTGTAATGGAAACAAGTGTGTGTGTGGTGTGCAGACACACAGTGCAAATACATGTGAGGGTCAGAGGTCAACTCCATCGCTCTGTACCTTGTTTGTTTTGAGACACTCTCTCAGTCAAACCAGAGTCTACTGTTTTCACCTGGACCAGCTGGCCAAGAACTCTGGGCCCTCCTGTCCCTGTCTCCTGTGCAAGAGCCTTAGCCATATGTTGCCATACTTCCTCCTTGCTTTTACATTGGTGCTGAGCTGCTATCTCATGTTTGCACAGCAAGCACTGTACCACTGATCCTTCTCTCTAGTCTCCAAGGTTTTAATTTTTTTCATTTTACTTACTTGTATGTGTATTTGTAAGCAGCCAAGGCTATAGATGTATTTAATGTCATGACATTTTATTTTACAAAAAGGGCACAAACTATATTATTTCCTCCTCTCAAACTCAAGAAGTGTACTTGATCATTTTTCCCCTTCCTACCCATCCGATGTTATCTCCTCAAGTTCCCACCTTATACCCCTCTCTTATCCTTGGCTCGCTTTGCTTTGATTGTTATTGTTGCGTGTGTCTTTTTGTTTGTCTTTCTGTGTGGTCACAAATATATAAATATAATCTATTGAGTTTCATTTTGTTGTTTGTGTGTATATGATTCCCGGGCTCACCACTTTACATTGGATAACCAATTGGAGGTAGTCGTCCCTGGTGTAGGCTAAGTCTTCCCCTCTCTGCAGTCTTTAGTTCTTTGTCTAGGGGTAGGAATCTGTAAGATTTTTTTTCCCCTGCTGCATTAGCATGTGTGTTCATAATGTCCTTGTTTAGGCACCCATATTGTGAAGTATTGGGTGAAGCTGCTCTGTTGTTTCTAGGAAACACAAACCCATTGGAAATTTCCTGGTCCTCTGGCTTTTATAGTATTCTGTTCCCCCTTCCTTGATGTTTCTGGCACCTTATGACAAGAGCTGTGTAATAGATATATGCATTGGGCATGACTTCTTACAGTCCATTGATCTCTGCATTGTCTCCACTTATGGTTTTCTGTCATGGTCTCCATTTGCTACAGAGACACTTCTCAATGAGAGGTGAGAGTTACACTTATCTGTGGGTAGGAGGATTTCTTTTAGAATTTTGTTAGGAATTATGCTCGTCTAGTAAAGTATCAGTAATAGACTCTCTTTTCAAATCCATGGGTAGTTGGCTAAGTTCTTAGTACCAGGCATGATTTTCCTCCTGTGTCTTGTTTCCAATTAGATAGCTTTGGTTATCACTAAGATATGAGTACCACTGCTATTCCATTAGGGCTATTTGCCGTGCTGGTCAGTGTTATGCCTCATAGGTGTCCCAGCGGGATAGGACTGTTGATATCATCCCTTTGACAGCTTGTACACTACTCTCTGGTGCTGTGGAAGCTCACAAGTGTGAAGAACTAAATGCAGGTATTCATGTATGTGTAGCCACAGCAACCTCAGCTTCCTCAGTTACTGTTCATAAGCCACCAATTGCCTTAGAACTTGTTGAGTAGACTAGGATGGCTGACCAACCAGGGAATAGCATGGATCCTTTTGTCTCCATTTCCCAAGTAGGGGTGGGGGCAGGGGAACATAAGCACACCCACTCCTCCATGCTTTTTTTTTTTTTAAGTATGGTTTCCAGAGGATTGAACTCCTGTCTCAGGCTTTTGTGGTAAGTATGTTACTGATTGAAGTGTCAACCTAGTTTTGAGAAAGTCTTGATAAGAGTAATCGTAAGACTTACTAAGATTTGGTTTATGTTTTAAAAATATAACTGACTGTTTTTATATATAGAACAGATCTAGAAGGACTGGGCAGATGTCTCAGTGAGGAAGAGCTCCTGAATAATCAGGAGGACCTGGGTTCAGATCCTGACACTCACATAAAAAGCTGAGTGTGGCTACACATGTACATAACCCTAGTGTAAGGTGTAGGTTGGGGGAACATGGTGCAGAATCAATCAGGAGGTTCACTGGGGCTTGCTTGCTAGCCAGCTCTCCTTTCCATGCTGACCCTCCTTTGCACACAGGTGTATATACACAGACAACCTACATTGCACAAGCAAAACACACAAAGGGAAAGTCAGAGTGGTCTAATTAGAAACTGAGATACTAGTTAAAGAGTTGTTTGAGTTATAGAGATGTCACCTAGAGACTGAAACTAGGTGACACTAATGAGGGTTAGGGTCAGTGGGTAAATCTGATATGGACTTAGGATTGTGAAAAAAATGGGTAGGTTTTGCTAATGAATGAACAGTTATGTTAAAAATGCCACAATTTATGGGGAGCCTAAGAGTTTTGTGGGCCTCTTATTTTGGATTAGGAAGATAATGTAATGTCAAGAAGCCTTGTGATGAAAGATTCTGAGGAGGAGGAAGTGGTCTGTAGGGCAAAGGCTGGAGGAGACATAACAGAGTTGGTCTTTGTTGGTTTCCTAACAAGAGCAATTTGCAGATTGGTTAGGGTTGGTAAGGTTTTTACTATATTCATGAGTTCAAGAGAGAGCAGAATTAAAGAAGTAAAGGTGGAGAGGCTACACTTCCTGGTTCCATAGGGTACTAGCTTTAGGGAGACAAGAAAAGGGATGCTTTTAAGATGATTTAAAGAAAAACTAAAGTGTGAATACTCAGAGAATTGTAGATTCAAGTCTTGTGGAAAGAATAGGATGTAGTGTATTTTTGGAAGTCTTACCCTGACAGGAGCATGAGTTTAAGTATAGTGGAGTGGAGAAAAGACAGAGTGTGTAGGCGTTCACGGTGGCAGGTAAATGGGTCATGGAGTGTATGGGACTTCTGTATAATCCCTTAGTTAAAGGAACATAGGCTTTAACTAAGAGATGAGGAGACAATAACAAGTGTTTGAGATTTGAAGAGGGGGTTTACCTTTCTCTTCCCTTTCCCCTACTCTACTCTAGATACACACATAAACAAATCCAGCATCTGCTCAGATCACCAAACACTGTTCTACCTAATTGCGGTCTCCCTTTTTACCTTGACAAACACCTGTCTCTTCTTCCCCTTAGACTCCTATTGCATATTAAATGATTAACCAAACACTAGTATGGTACTGTAATCTTGTGTATATATTTTCCTTTCCCTTTACTCTCCTATGCTCATGTATCCTTAGCATATAGTGCATTTGGTGTTCACCAAAGCTTTGATGAGTCATTGAAAATCTCAATTAAAACAGATTCTTTAGTGTTTTTAAAGCAATTGTGAAAGCCATTATTGCCTAGGGATTACTTTTAGTTACTTTTATATAATTCATTCTGTTTACTATTCTGTAGTGGTCCTATATTGCTTTAAAATATCATTACCCCAATCATTTCATTGATTATTTTGCAGGAACATCTGTCTTTGAAGAAGTATGTTGTTGACATTGTGGTTGAAAGTGCAGCTCCAACAGAACCTGTGAAAGATGGAGAAGAACGGCAAAAGAATAAGAAAAAAGCTAAAAAGATAAAAGCACGGATGAACACCAGGTAACATAAATGTCCTTAAATGTAAAACAAAAGCTCTTAGGGATGGGCCATTTAATTTAATGGAAGGAAGAAAAAACACTTAAACTTGTTTGCTTCAAAAGCTTTGGAAAAACCACCAATGAACCTAATTTATAGCCACTTTCTTTGATTGAGAAAGAAAACTGAGTATTGATCCAAAGCCCTCTTTTTCACCTGCTCAAGGGCTCTTCTTATAATTAGATAACAAGGCCATGCCAAACTTGGGCCTCTTTCAGCATACAATGGTACATTTAAATATTTGTAAACTAAGCTTATTTTTCTTTCCAACTATTGATTTTTAAATGAAGTATCAAGGAAAATCAATAGCAATCAACAAATAGAAGTCAGCTGGCTGTGGTGTCAAAGTCCATGACAGGGTTTAATTAATTTGGTTGCCTGTCACAACAGGAAAAGTTCAAGAAATATCTTAAAATGGAAAGTGAGTTATCAGACCTGTAGTTTATCATCAGCCTCCAAAGTGACATCTGAGATCAGACAGCTGTGTAGTACATTACCTCACAAGCTTTAAGTGTCACATGATGACTGATGGGTCTTGTTTGAGGACACAAATACAGTCCTTTCTTAGTTGCTACCTTTAGCATTGAGAGAAAGCATTATGAACCTTACCTTTTATCATGAAAGTCTCAAAAGAAGGAGATGCTTATTAGTTCATGGAATGATAAATAAAAAGGTAGAACAGGAATAATACTGAATGATATAGTTGTCTGTAGTTTCTGTGTCCAGATTGTGGCCTGTCAAGGAATCTGATTCATCTCAAAGATCAGACATAACTCCAGAGTGCTTTGTTTCTTTGAAAATGAATAGTTAGAAACCAAGTGGTGTCTCCTGATTTGACTTCATGAAAGAAGGAAGTACCACGTATTTGTTGTGTATAAGAAATCCTAGGCACCGGGCAGTGTGGCGCACGCCTTTAATCCCAGCACTCGGGAGGCAGAGGCAGGTGGATTTCTGAGTTCGAGGCCAGCCTGCTCTACAGAGTGAGTTCCAGGACAGCCAGGGCTACACAGAGAAACCCTGTCTCGAAAAACCAAAAAAAAAAAAAAAAGAAAGAAAGAAAGAAAGAAATCCTAAGGATGAGGTTTTCTATGGGTCCTTACTGCAATGACCAGAAAAAGCTTTCTTGAATTTAGCATTAGCAATCAGTGTATGTTTCTAGGCACATTTTCCTAGTTTACTTCAGGGTGTGACTGGCTTGAATTGGAGTTTCTGCTAAGAACTTTTTTTCTGACTCCTGAATGCTTGTTATTTTTTTCCCTTCACTTCTCTATGCATACTCCCTGCTAAATCCTGATTTTACATGCCCTATACTTGCTGATTGCAAATTTTACACCTTAAATTAAAGTGAAATTAAATGTACCTAAAGCAAACTGTTCTTTCATGTCTGTCTAGCATCTGACCTCACTGTAGGGAAAAAGCACTCTGTTGTCATTGCCCAGGTCAGGGCCCTTTAAGTAGTCACTGTTGACCTCCCACTTGACCAGACTCATATCCATTCTTACTTCAGATAATGCTGCTTGCTTTAAAATGTCTGCAGGGCTAAGAGTACACACCTTTAATCCCAAGCACTCTGGAGGCAGACAGGGGATCTCTGTAAGTTCAAGACCAGCCTGCTCTGTGTGAGGATCTGTAAATAAAACCTCAGCATGTAGAGTAGAGGTAGACACTGGGGCTAGAGAGCTGACTCAGGGTTAAGAGCACTTGACTGCATCTGTAGGAGACCCAGGCCCAGGCTTAGTACCCACATGGTGGCTACAGGCTTCTGAAGTTCCATTTCCACAGATATCTGATGCCCTCTTCTGGCATCCTTTAGTACCAGGCAGACATACAGTGCACATATATACATGTAGGCAGATGTTCATATATACAATAAAAAACTTTTTATTTTTGCCCCTATTCTTCTCCTGCCCTCCTCTCCCCTTCTTTTCTCCTTCTGCTTTACTCTTCCCTGTACTTTTTCTTCCCCAACAAAGTCTTGTTCATAACAAGTCAATACAACACTGAGTTATTCACAGTGGCATCACGCTGCTGCTGCTGCTGCTGCTGCTGCTGCTGCTGCTGCTGCTGCTACTGCAATATTTCACTTTGTGACTCTGGCTGGCCATGAATAGCAGTTTTTCTGCCTCTGCTTTCTTGAGTGCTGGGATAATTAATAAGTGTGCGTTACCATACCCAACTCTTTTGTATGTCCTTCTAATCATTTACCTACTAAATTGGCCCTTGGCAATCCCTTACATGCTTTCTGTAATTATGGACTGATTTTTTTGTTATTCTATAAGTTTTTATATTCAAAATCATACTCTCTTGCTGCTGACTTGTGCTAAGTACTTTTTCAAGATATATCTATATTTTTTGGGTCAGTCGATCTGTTTTCCTTTTATTGTTGAATATATGGACCATATAGGTAATACCAAAAGCTTTGTTCAGTTATCCCATAATAAACATTTGAGTTGAAGTTTTATAGGTAGCAAGAGCGGCTCTTGGAGGAATTGGGAGGGAAGAAAAATATGACCAAAATATATTGTATGAAATGTTTAAATTAAAATAGAGAAATGAATTATACAGTAGCTTTAATCTTCATAAAAACAAAAGCAAGCTCACAACTCAACATTGTAAAGGCAACTATTTAGAAAATTACAAAATTCAATGTTTGTATATCTTTTTTTGTTGTGTTGTTTGTTTTTCAAGACAGCGTTTCTCTATGTTGCCTTAGCTGTTTTAGAACTGGCCTTGAATTCACAGAGATCCACCTGCCTCTGCTTCCTAAGTACTGGGATTAAGTTGTAAACCACCACAGACGAGTTTATATATCTTGGTTTTAACCTTCTGTTTTTCCTGTGTGGTTTTAAAGACAATTCTATAAAACAATAGTATAAAACTATGTCAGTGGGCATACTGTGTGTCATTTGCACAGATGGTTCACCATGTCAGCAGTATCCTTCCTTAGATTCTGCCAAATGCAAACAAAAAGTATTTAGAAATAATATTTTTAGAAAATTTAGAAAGTGTGTCTGTATGACTTGGTCCATTTCTCATTAGTTGTGACAGCATTGCTAATGAGAACAATGTAAAGGGAAGAATTATTTTATGTGACAGATTCAGAAGTTTCTATCCATAATGGCACACACATGTGTTCCCACACATGTGTAAACACATAATACACACATACACCACAGCATATAGCCATACTCAGGAGAGGCAAGGGAGCAGAGAGTATTGATTTGACATTCGGTGATACGACATATAGAACTCAATGGTAGCTAAGCAGTGGAGGGCAGCTTTTCCAAACTGGAATTACACGAAGCCTAAGCACATTAAGCTTTCCAGTAGCAGACATGTTTTCAGGAAGGATTTTAAAAACTGCATCATATCTTCTAGGGAGTCACTTCAGATACAAACTTGTAAATATATTTAATGTAAAAGGCCAGCTGTATATTTTATACAAGCCATACCACAAAGATAGTAATATTGGTAAAGTCACAGACTTCATGGTAAAATTGTCACAACAGATAGAGAATACCTTTTGTTTAATCTTAGAGGAAGACAGAGTCTGTCTGTATGAATATGTCTTTGGAGCTCAGAGAGCCTTCTCGTGTGTTGCTCTTTACCTTCTACCTTGTCTGAGACCGTTTCTTCTGTTTGCCACTGTGCATCTGGCTATCTGGTTCACTAGTGTCTTGGACTTGTCCTGTCTGGACCTTACATCTTGTTGAAGGAACACTGGAGTTACTGATTTATCATACCTGGCTTTTCCTGGGATATAGGGGTTGAAACTTAGGTTCTTAACCTTTTGTTGCTCACACTGTACCAACCAAGCCATAGCTCTAGCCCACATTTAACATTTAAATTAATATGTTTCTCTTTTATTTTCAGAAAAGAAAAAGGAGAAATGAGTACATTAACTCAACATTAATATATTGCTTTAGTGACACCTTTCTTTATGATGGCTATCACCTCCTGCTCTAGACTAGCTGAAAACAGATAGTGGCAAAGAAGAGGCAGCCTGGATTTATATGAACCTTTGATGTATAGTCAGTGTAAACAGTCAGACAAACCGTTAAGGGCCAGGTCAGCTTATTTCCAGTCTTTTATCTTTGAACTTAAATGAAAATTATTTACCCATACTTAACTTTAGACTGTGTATTTCTTGTGGTTCATAGAAAGTTTGCTATTTCAACTACTTTGTTGGAATCATACAGCCTTTTAAATTTACTACAGACTCATTTTCACATTTCTATGCTTCCTTAATCAAGCAAGCCTATCAACTCAGAAGTATTCTTCTTGAGTGATTTATATCTTATGAAGGAGTGTACATTTTCAGTCTCTCAGGTTAGCATTTAAGGGAAAGTTTGTCACATTAATAATATGATATACTACTGAGAATGGAAAAACTGGACTAACCTTTTGTATCATTATATAAATGGCTATAAAATAACTAATAAAGATGAAACCTTTCTTTCCTTAGGTCTAAAGAATATGAGAATTCAGTGGAAACCAAAAATTCTGGCTCTGAGTCGCCTTATAAAGCAAAGTGAGTATTTATCTCATATTTTAGTTCATGTTTCTCCTTGGTTTCTGCCTTTAAAAGAACTCTGTCTGGAGTATCATACTGTTACTTGGGAAATTGGGATTCCCTTCTCAGTTCTTAGTCTTGTTAATAAATAATTTAGAAATGGCCTCAAACAGAAGCTTGAGTACAATTTTAGTAGAATTTGAGATACAATTTAGAAACAGCAGAAATAATGCAGTATCAGCTCTCTAGTTGTAGTGAAAAATGCCCCACAAACAGTAACAGGAAGGTCATTGTAAAATTCACAAATGCTTGCAGATAAAATGAGGAGATTAAATAACACACAGCTTAGCTATGAAGTCTGAGAAAAAAATTAAATCTTTTTGAAATGAACAGAAGCATAAACAAGGCTAATCAGAATCTGTGGGTACACTCAATATACCTAGAAGGAAATTAACAGCATTCCATATACATGCAAGAAAAGAAGGTCTGAAATGAATTATCTGTACTCCTTCCTTCAGACACTATAAAGGAAGGGTGAGCTTAAACATAAGAAAATAAACTTTTGAAATTGGAAGAAGTCAATGTTTAGTGAAAATTGAAATAGATTCTCAGTGAAGGGAGGGAGAGAATCCATAAGCAATACTTTGGAAACATGAAATTGTGATCTGTCTCCAGGCTCCATTGTAAAAATAACTTTTAATCTCCTAATGTGTGTTGTAGTAAATATTTTATTTTTGACTTAGTCTGTCAAATTTTTCTCTGATTCATCACTTTGCCCCTCAATTAGATGTGATTATTAAATTAAAAGGATAAAAGGTGTGTGACATGTCTGCATTCCAGCCAGATCACACATACCTAGAAGGTCTTTGGATGTGATGAGAACAGCCATGTTGATGGATTGCGATTCCTCTGTACTGCATCTTGTTTGTTCAGTAGGTCTAAGTGCTTATGTTGCACCCACTGTTGCCTTTTGATGTTCTGATACCTGGAGATTGATAAGAAGAACTATACTCTGGAAGCCAGAAATGTATTAGTGATTTAGATGGAGGAAGATAATAGACTGGTAGTGCCAGTCACTGATGTTATTGTCTCTGTAGATTAGAGTGACAGAGCTGTAGACCTGTGGAGTGTGGTGATGGTGTAAAAGTGCTTAGATTTCAACAACAAATACTTACGGGCATAGTTTCAAAACAGAAAATTTCAGCAGCAGAAACTGAGGGACAGAAAGGCTGTTCCAGTACATGCAGCCAACCCAGCTGCAGTAGGTAGAGACTGAGACAAAGCCACCAAACCAAGAGTGTCAAAAATGTATATTATAATTTAGCTATGAACTAACAGTCTTATTTGAAAACAAATAAGAAATTGAAGCCAGAAAGTTTAGTGAACAGAATGAGAAAAGAGTGATCTTCAGGACACATCATGACAGAAGTAGCATGCCATTGGCAGGGCAAAGAGGAACACGTGGTGCCATGAAAACAACACTCACCTCATCACCAAGCAGATTTGCTGTTTAAAAACACAGATGTCACCGGGCAGTGGTGGCGCATGCCTTTAATCTCAGCACTTGGGAGGCAGAGACAGGTGGATTTCTGAGTTCGAGGCCAGCCTGGTCTACAGAGTGAGTTCTAGGACAGCCAAGGCTACACAGAGAAGCCCTGTCTCGAAAAAAACAAAAAAACACAGATGTCCTGACATCTGCATAGCAAAATTATTGAAATTGTAATAATGTAATTCTCCAAACAGAGAAGCTTAAGACTGTATGGGTTAGCCGCTGAGTCCTACAGTATCTTTAAAGATGAAGTAGCACCATTACTTCTCAGACTATTCCACAGAATAGAAAAGGAACATTTCCAGACTCACGTTCTGTAGGGCAGACCTGTAGCCAGCTTGTCTTGGATGGGAGAACCAGAAGCATTCTCTCTAAAGTCAGCATCCACTGTCACTTGTCTTTTGAAGCAGTTGGGGGAAAAGGAGAAGAGAAAGAAGAAACCATGATGGTCTAAATAAGGCAAGCAAAAGAATGAGATGGTTACAAATAAATAGAAGTTACATTTACCTAATTGCAAATGATACAATCTTATCATTTAAAACTCTACCAGAAGACTCTTAGGTGAGCTAAACACTTTCAGGAAAGCATCAGGATACAAAATCAGCAGACAGATTGGAAGCTTTTCTGTATACCAACAGCTTACCCCTACAATGACCTTTAAAAACCCTAAATATCTAGGCATAAACTTAGTCAGATATTAAAGACATAAACAGAGAAAATTATAAGACACTGAAAAAAGAAATTGAATACAGAGACCTCTTGTGTTCATGGTTTGACAGACTGTAATTAACTGGCTGTGTTACTAGATTAGTATACAGATTTAATGCAACCTTAATCAAAATACAACCGAAGTAGAACATACATCTTAAATTTCATATGGAAACAATAAAAGACCCTGAACTATAGGCATTGTTGAATGTATGCTGACTTCAAACTGTATTACAGAGCTACATTAACAAAATCAGCATGGTACTAGAATAAAAACAAATACACAGACTGATGAATAGTGAAGTTGATCCAAAGGTAAGCCTAAACAGCTATTTATTCTTCATTTAGGTACCCAAAAAAGACATGGGCCAGACAGTCTATTCAGCTCATGGTGCTAGGGAACAGATTATTGAAATGTAAAAGACTAGATATAGATTCCTATCCTTCACCCAATACAAAAATCAATTAAAAGTATGCAGAGGGGACCAAAAAACAAAACCTACTTTAATACAATGACAGAAATTTGAAACTACCAGAATAAAACATTGGAAGACACCTCTAGTTATTAGGTATAAGCAATGTCTATCTAAATAGAATTTTACTATCTTACATAAAAAGATCAAGAATTGACAAATCAGAGTGCATAAAATTTAAAAAAACAAACTTTCTATAGCAAAGAAACAATGAAGATACTCAATAATATATAAGAAATTCCTTACCAGCATTTATGGGATAGGACTTATTTCTAGAAGACCAAATAATCCAATCAACAAAGACAGGCATAGAACTGAACAAATGCTTTTCACATAGAAGCGTGTATGTGACCAGTAAATGCATACACACTTTACTGTACCTTCATCCATTTTGTATAGACAAATCAAAATGATGCTGAGGTTCATCCTTTCCTGTTAGAATGGCTCCTGCTAAGACAGGGAAAGCGTAAGGATGGAGAGAAAGAAACTCTTACTCACTGCTTATGGGAACTGTATTAAACCAGCTAACATGAAAATCGTTATGAAAGCGTCTCAAAGAACTAAAGATAGACCTCGAACATGATTCCCTCATACCAGTTCTGGGGATGTGGTTCAAACATCCACGGCCAGCTTACTGTGGAGGGTTGCTCTGTACTCACAGTAGTCATGACACAGTTTAACACAGCCATGCTTGGAATCGGCGTAGCCTCTCGTCAACTGACCTCATTCAACATGTCATACAAACCAAGTGGAGCTTTCCTCAACTGTGGACTAAATAATGGTGCTATAGTTAAAGTAATGAAACTGAAGCTCTGTGTTTCAAGTAGAATAAGGCACTACTACAAAAATAGGAGTGACTCTCCTGTGAGATTCAGTGTGGGGGAGGAGAGAAGAAAGGTAAAGGGTACAGTGTATCCTTAGGAATTGAGGAGAGAAAGATAAACAGGTAGGCTGAAAGGAAAGATAACACAGATCAACGTTTACCATGTCCATGCATGGAAATGTCAGAGTAAAACTCGTTTATACAGTTAATATACAATAATATATAAAGACAAAGTTGACAGACCTGTAGCCAGCCTAAGAAAAAATGCAATGTAAGATACAGCTTAACTAATGTCAAAAAGAAAGTAAGATAACACTGTAAAGCCCAAGTTCATTAAAAGGATTCTGTATCAATAAAAGGAATAAGAGTTATCCACTAATTCGATTACTTAGATGAAAGAGGTTATTTCTTGAAAGACACAATCTGCCAAATTTATGCAAGAAAATCTAAAACACACTGGGCCTCTGTCTGTTAAAGAAATGTCGTCAAGAACTTTCCATAGCAGTATACAGCATGGACCAGATCTGCTCACTAGTCATTTGTACCAGACAGTTAAAGAGGAAATGGTTCTAATTGTCTGTAATCCGTTTGTCAAGTTGTGACTACCTAATTCATTGTATGAGGCAACTGTTATCCTGATATTTCAACACTCACACCAAAAATATTAGAAGCAAAAAACTTGGGTGCTAGGAGTGGGGGCAACATTTGGGATGTAAGTAAATAATTAATAAAGGAGATTAAATTAAAAATGAAAACAAAAACAAACTTGGATGCAACTATTCTCAGAAACACTAAAAATTGAAGTAAACACCAGTATCTCCTTTTTCCAGAATATTTTATTCTGTTCTGTTTCTTTTAAACAAAAAAGTTGGGGGGATGGGGGAAGGATTGTGGGAGGGGAGACTGGGAGTGGGACAATGAGTGGATTGTAAAGTGAATAAGTAAAAAAAGAAAATAAAAATTTATGAAAAGTTTAATTTTTAGTCTATTTTATGAGTTTTCACATATATCATTTTACTTAATTCTCAATATACTTTTCTTCATTATTTGATAATGAAATAATTTTTATGCAGATTTTATAGGTTTTTCGTTTTAGTTTTATTTATTATTTATTTTTTAATTTTGGATATTATGTATTCTTGCCTGGCCTGGAACTCTCTGGACCATACTGCCATGAACTTTCAGTAATCTTGCCTTGTCTTGCTTAGTTCAGAGATTTTGGTGGTTCTTTCCACAATTTGCTTTTACATGTGTTAGAAGCCACATGTGATGGCACATACCTTTAGTCCCAGCATTCTGGAGGCAGAGGTAGGCAGATCTCACTATTATGAGACCATCTTCATCTATATAGTGAATTCTAGACCAGGCACCGATACAATGAGACTGTTTCAAAACAAACAAACAAACAAACACACACACACAAAAGCACAAAAATTATTTTTTCATGTACTTAAATACATTTTTG